CGGCCGCTATCCAAAATCACCGCCGAGCGCATCCCATCTCGAGCGTTTGGAGACCAAAATCTGCCCGTCCACGGAGAAACTCACCGACGCCGTCGAACTAGAGGAATACGCCTCGGCAATCACAGAAAGTATACCAACAAAATAGAAACTAAATTTGATGAATACAAAATCGGAATATAAAATTGATGAACACGAAATTGAAAAATCGTGAGGATGTAGCCGACCGATGAGGTCTTCGCGTGGCTGAGAAGAGTCCGGTGGCTCATCGGCGGCAATGGCGGAGGTTACGAGGAGGAGACAACGAAGTGACGAACAGATCAAAATATTGGGTTGGGGTTCTTCTTTTAAAAATATGATAAAGTATGAGGGACATAAATGCAATATCATTAATTTTATCTAAATTACAATTTAGTTCTTGGGTAAAATCCATAATTTAACTAAAATTTCAAAAGTTTTCTTTTATTATTATTGTTCAATTTAGCATATGAGCCAATTCTTTTGATATATATATAAAATATATATAAATATTATTTTTGATATATTTTTAAATTACACATATATATTTTATTGTTTCAACAAAATCTATATAAAATATTAAATAAAAATTTAAAAGATTAAATATATTTTTACAAAAAATAGCCGCACTTCGATTGCACATTAGTTTTAGACGGATTGCACGTTAGTGACTATCAAAATGCACTATAGCGGTCTAAACGAGCTGACAAAGTTTTGGGTTCGCGTTTTATCGTTTGGTTCGATTATTTGTGTTTGCTTTTAAAATTTTGGTTATCTCGATTCGATGTCAACTCTATTGTTTAAAATAACCGAACCAACCCAACTATATAAAAAAGTATTATTTTTTATGTATATATATTTTAGGTCTTTACAACCAAAAATAATTTAAAATATTACATAAAAATAATAAATTACTAAATATATTTTTATAATATAAATTATAATATTATTTCTATAATAATATATATGATATAATTGTTTAAATTATTTCAGTTTCGTGTTAGTTTCGATTCGCGCATAAAAAAAAACTCATAATGCATAATGCCCATTATGTTAATCAAGATGAACATTAGTGAATATCAGATTGCACCGTAGTAATGTACCGATTGCACATTAGCATCATTATTGTTTATTTCAATGGGCACTTCGAGTGCACATTAGTGATGGACGGATTGCACGTTAGTAACTATCAGATTGCACTATAGCGACCGAAATTGACAAACTAAATTTTTGAGTCCGAAGTTTATATTTTAGTTCGATTATCTATTTTACTTTTAAATATTTGGTTATTTCAGCTCGATGTCACATTTATTTTTTAAAAGTATCCGAACCAATCGAACTATGTACAAAAAAACTATATTGTTATTTATATATTGTAGGTCTTTACAACCAAAAATAATATAGAATATTAAATAAAATATTAAACTAATCAATATATTTATATTATCTAAAAATATAAATTATTTTGGTTATTTATCTTAATTTGGTTAACCGGTAAAATAATTTGACAATTTTGTTCGGCTTTTGTTTCAGTTGGGGCCATTCATGAAAAACTCATACACTGCGATTGCACAATTGTATTAGACGAATTGCACATTAATAACTATCGGATTACACTATATCGGACGCACCGACCAAACTAAGTGTTTGAGTGCAAATTCTAAATTATTTCAATTATTTATGTTGCTTCGATTAACCGATCAAATACACCGACTATTTCGTTAAATTTGGTTTGATTTGGGGCATTTCGTAAATAATGCATGCATTTCGTGTGCACAGTAGTGTTATATAAATTGCACATTAATGACTAGAGAATTGAACCATATTTTTCAAATCCGATCGAAATAAAATTTTCGGTTCAAAATTTTATATTTCGATTCAAATATCTATTTTATTTTAAAATCGGTTATTTGAGTTTGACGACGAATTTATTTTTATAATTGTTGGATTATTTAAATATAAATAAAAAATATTAAAATCTTAAAAATTATAGTAGTTATAAATTTGGCTCATGAACTAGTATATTAAATTTCATGAAATTGCAGTTAGGTCCTTATGATTTATAAACTATTCGAAACAACCTCAAAGTTAATCTAATTTACATGATTGAGCCCCCACAAATCAACATCCACAATCTCAAAACCGTAAATTAAAAAAGAGACGGTGGAGCAAGAGTGAAGTGAAGCAAGGCAAAAATCGTAACTTAGAAACGAAATCGGTAAAACAGATTTCCGTTGAACTTCAGGAAATCGGTAAACGAAATCGTAAATTAAGCAAGGCAAAACAGATTTCCATTGAAATCGGTAAACGAAATCGTAAATTAAGCAACGCAAAACAGATTTCCGGCTGGTGAACTTCAGGAAAGCCGGATCCGGGTAAACGAAAGCGGTACCGGCGCCGAGCCAGGTGAACGTCATCACTGTCATCATGACGATTTCCGGCAGAAAGATCTACAATATTCCAGACGGACGACGGCGGAGGAGGAAGATACGAGGCTGAGGCCGGTGGCGATGGGGCGGATTTGGATCTGAACGAAGAGCAGCAAAACAGATCTCCATTGAAGTTTGTACAATGTCGAGACTATCAACTCTCCGTTGAAGTGTGTCGACCGCCGAGAACAGCTCCGTTTGCAGCGGGCGAGCGGCGTCGTGGTCGGCGTCGGAGAGGATGTGGTAGGCGGGAGATGATGCGAGCACCGCCAACGGGGAAGGGAGATGCGATATGTTCGGCCGAGAGGCGGTGTACTGGTGGTGGTGGTGGATGAATTCCGGTGGCTGAGTTGGGGGTGGGCTGGTGGCTGCCGGAATGTGTGTGTGTGTGTGTGTGGGCGCAGATCGTGAGAAAGAGAGAGAGACGGTGATGAATGAGAAAATAGATATTTAATTAGTGAGAGGGTCCCATATAATAAATGTGTATTGACCTACTTACCCTTAATTATTGGTCAAATGTACATATTTGACCACAATATGATCAAATAATTACCAGAATGCCATTAATGATTGACCATAGTTTGACTTCATCATAACCATTGATATGATTGATCACATGGTCCATATTCATTCTTATTTCTTTCACTATCTATCATTCTCATGTGATCCCAACTCTATATATATATATATATATATCATTAAGCATTTTCTTTAAATCCAGTGTGTAAAATGTAGTTGCATGTTGCACTATCGAAATAGATCCAGAACTGATTTCTAGATATATTCCACATTAATATAGCATTGATGATTACAAGCTAAGCAGTGTAGCTATGCTATTCATAACCGCTAATGAACGATGAATTATTTGCCATCAAAAGTAACACTTAACTAGCTCATAAAACCATTTTGGAGAAAGTACAGTTGTTCCTTTCACATAAAATACCACCAAAAACAGAACATACATAAGAATTTGCAAGTGTAACAATCTAACCAAATTTGAAAGTTCAAGCTAACCAAAATCCAGATCCAATAAGCTGCACTGATAGCATATTTTCAAATTGAATAAAAAAATCAAGAATTTGCAGTGTAACAATAAAATAAGAGAAAATAGAGCACCATACAAGGAACAGGAATAAAGATGTTCTTTATATATGTTCAACACTTCATAGAGGTAGCAAACAGAACTCAACCATGCCCTATTTCATGTAATACTACTTTAAAAATGTTACAAAATTTCATTGTTTCAAAAATACTCCATTCCAACTCCAAATCACAGCTGAGTCAAGTCATCAAAGGATTGGGCGTTCCGGATCCCATGTAACATCTCGTGGTTCGCATATGCGAGAGCATACCGACAAGAAATGTTATTTAAGTTTGTGTAAATGCCAAGACGAATGCGTCCTTGAGTGACAGGACACATAGCGAACCACTGATCGCAGATCTCTGAAGATGACAATGCGACTGAATATACAAGGGAATCCTTCGTAAACCCGAGCCACCGAATATTTGTTCGTGATATTCCTGACCAGATTCTGTTTATGAGAGATGTTAGATAAACATCCAAGCCAATTACTTAAGAGTTCTACACTAATTTTTAGATAGAGTTGAAACAAATATATCTTTTGTTTAAGTTAAAGTACAAGATAACTTATCTTGTGTTATATGTGGGAGTATGACTAAAGTAAGAATATACACACCTTCTATCCCTGACATGAAACTCTAAATCAGCTGGGCCAATTAGCTGCACTGCATCTTGATGAACCACCACAAGCATGCTTTTGCCATCAAAAATTATGTCATGAAACATTCCATTCTGACTGCATAACTCATCAAAGAGACCTCTTTCATATTCCAAGTGGAATACCCCTAGTTCCTTAAGAGAATAAACTGCTAAGACGAAAAAATATAGTTAATATAACATGATTAAACAGTCAAATGTAAGTAATAAGTCTTATTTCTATCTAACAACTAAATCTTTACTTTCACGTGCATCCCAACATAATAAGGTATTATGTAAGATTAGTATTTAAATTTCTTATCATAAACAAACATAATTCGGAACACAACAATGACACAAATTCATCTCTTTGGTATAGTTTTTTATTATTTATATTTGACAATTAATATGAGAAATGTTATAGGTACATAATATTGTAGATGTACATAACGCTCACATTAAGTGGGGTCCAACAAAAAATAAAAAAATCAAGTGGACCCCACTCCATGTGAGTGTTATGTACACCTCTATGTACATTTATTATGTATTTATAGCATTTTTCAATTAATATTTTAGTTAACATGTATATGAGCTGAGTTATTAAAAAAATTAGGTCTTTCCTTATTAATTTTACAGAATTACAAACATTTTTCAGTTTTCAAGTTCAATCTATAAGTATAGTTAACATGTATATGATCTTAGTTATTAAAAAAATTAGGTCCTTCCTTATTAATTTTACAGAATTAGAAATATTTTTCAGTTTTCAAGTTCAATCTTCAAGTATAGTTAACATGTATATGATCTGAGTTATTAAAAAAAATAGGTCTTTCCTTATTAATACAGAATTACAAATATTTTTCAGTTTTCAAGTTCAATCTTCAAGTATTTAGACAAACGTCTATACTTGTTTAAAACAACTCTTCACATATTTTATGTCACACATTATTTTTAGAAATAAATGTCACATTTNAAAAATAGAATGAAAAAATTGTAACTTAAAATTTCTAGATTCTTAAAGTAAGCTTTGGGATTTTACAATTTTCATTTGACACCATTTCTACCTCAAGGTCTAAACGATTAAGATAACTAAGTCACCAAAATAATTTCTCGTGATGTTTACTAGTATATTGAAATATTAGAATACCTCTTATTAGCCCTCCAGTGTAAAGATCTTCTATAGATGCTATCATCATTTCCCACACAAGAGCATGTATATCTTTTGAGGCATACCTATAAAGTCATAAAGTTACAGACAATAATAATTATAAGTAGAGACGAGAGAACTAATATAAATACATTAAGGAAGGAAATCAATTTTAGTAAGCGCATGATTTTCATGGATTTATTCCTTAAATGCTACTTTTGATATTGGCCCTTTTATTTCACATAAACATTTTATATTTGTAATAGCTAAGCACATAAGGTAGGATACCTATTTAGGGTAGGGGAAATAAATCAAATTATGTAGGTTGTTGAGTAATCCACATTTCTTGTTCCTTCCTTAGGGTAGGGAAATAAATCAAAATTATGTAGGTTGTTGAGTAATCTACATTCCAGCAAAAGAAGTCTACATTTCTTGTTTCGCCTGATCATATCATAAATAAAGTTTAACGTCTCTTTCATTTCCCGATTCTTCACTCCTAACAGTTGGTCTGCTTTTTGGAATACAAGTTGACTTCATGGAGATAGAGAACGATCAGAGAAGATGTACATATACTAATATCTAATAAATATGAACTTAGAACTTACCCTCGTAAACGGTTCTGTGCATTAAGTGACCCACTCCCACCTCCAAACACTTCTTCATTTACATAGAGTGGCAAAGAAAACTCATCCCCCNCCACAAAAAAAAAAAAAAACAAAAACAAAAAACAAACAAACAAACAAATGATAAAACCGATGCATAGAACAATTTTACTTCAAAAAAAATGATGAAACCTAATATATATTTAGTTGGACTTTTGTTGTTTGTTCTATGTTTTGAAATTAAGAATTACTTACGTGTTCACGAGGTAACCAGCCACAGATGTGAATCGTGGAATGCACTTCATTTCTACTGCGAGGAAATCGAAAGAAGAATTCATGGGCAAGGCTGACAACATTAGACAGCTCCTCCGGCAAATTCCGACTAATAATTTCATCTTGGACAAAGGAGACCATGTTATGACATCTGTTGGTGTCTCCGACTAACGTGAGGAAGTTTGTTCTCAAGATCACGGCAAATTTGCATGCAGCATCGTTATTTAGCATTTCCAGATCTTTAAGATTAGGATCTGAAACTAATAAAAGCATTTGAAAAATGGGTTAGTTTCACGAGGATAAAACTTACAAATATGAACTTTTTGCATTAAAAAGTACCTTTATACATCTGAGTTTCTCTCGAGTCAACAGCAACTAAAATATGCGTAGGGGAAACCCGAAGCCATAGAACTGTGGTCCCATGAGAGGGACCAGCAGTAAAGTTTTTCTTGGCACACACCTATATCACAGTGGAAAAATTAATTATTTAGCCCCATAGGGCATAATGCAATAATTAATTATTTAGCCAACACTTATGTACCAGATTGACTTAGGTTCAGTGCCCAACACTTGACAGAGGCAAAAACAAAATAGTGATCTCATCACTACCAAACAGCAAGCATAGAGATTAACAAATTACAGTGGTCGATGTACTTCGAGTTATACAAGGAGGGGACAGGATTAAAGTTGCATATCCCCTTAATTAGACTTCCTGATATTATGTTATTGATGTAGCTAACTAAGTAAATTGATCTTGAGGACACAAACATCCTCAAATACGTATAAATCCAGACCGGTAACAGGATGAATGCTCTGCAATCAATTGGTATAGATCCAGACTGGTAACAACAGAACTCAATAAATTATTATGCTCTATAAGAATGCATCAACGGTCTAAGAAGTGATTGAGTATGACTACGTGAACAAAAACCTCACCCAAACAAACACAACCTAGACCATGAACATTTTGTTCTTATCCTGAAACAAGAAACATATAAATGATACACCCCCTGAAATCTGGAAATAGTGTTTTTCACTGAAAAAATCCATAACTATATTGTGCTCAATATAACTAAAAGGAATTAATGGGTTCTCATAAAAACGGCCTTGCTATAAAGTTTAGTAACATAAAAATCTGACCTGCCCAAGTTGTTCATCCTCAACCTCCTTTGGATCGTTTAGGACATCTCCACTTTCTCCATCACCCGTTGAACATGAAAATCGCTCCTAAAATGAACATGAAATCAATACACACACACACACACACATCCCCAAGTTGTATGTATCTCCTTGTTTGAATGAATAACATATGACCTGTTCCTCATCCTCTTCAGGGTCAATGCATGAATTTAAGACTTCAGCAATTACTCCAACATCCTTCGAACGACATGCAAATTGCTCCTAAAATGAGAACGAATCAATATAAGCAGCACACTAATAATTCCAATCATCCAATNATTGCAATCATCCAATAATAAAAACAAATATGAAAATGAAGAGGATTTCACTTTATTGCTAGTTACCATTATTTCATTAAATAAAGCAAGAGTTCAACAATAGTGATTCTTTCTATGGTGCACACTTATTCTAATTTCTATAATGGGTGAGTGTTGTTTACAGGCTCACTATGATTCCCTCTTATCGCCTATACATATATGCATACATAAGGCATGACATGATATATAGAGCCAGTTCTACAACGATCTTCAGCTCTTCCTTGAATGAGCTACCATCATGAATCACATTGCTTGATGTGCTACATGTGTCATCTTTCAAGAATAAACTGTCATACAATTGTTTACCACATCTAATCTGAAAGTGCATTTCTACCAGTGAAACCCCATGCAATGCCAGAATAAAGACGTAGCCATGGCATAAGACTTATACGACGGCATGGGAGATTATATATTTATATGTGCCGAAAAGTTTTTTTAATCACGAGTCTTGTAATACACAAATGGAGGGATGGCATAAATATGTTAGGCATGCATCATCCATCACAATGCAGCATTTATGTTTCTTTGAAATGGTTAGCCCTCTGAAAGAGAAGGTGGCGAATGTGATAAGAATTACAAATGGTTAGAGTTTATGGATAGAAGATGCCGGTCAGTTTTCCAAGACAGAAATGCAGCATCAGAGAATTATGTGTATACACCATAATAGAATGAGGTTTTGGAGAGGAAACACGAGCATTTCCTTCACGTGGGAAGATGATTCCTATTCCAATCTAGCTCTCCCTTTGAAAATTTTAGGATATGGTGCAGCTGCATACATCATCAACAGGCTCCCAAGCGCCATAGTGTGCTGGTAAACACCGCCTTTTGAAGAGTGCAATCGAAAACCACAAGATTATACAAGATTGAAGCCTTTTGGATTTTTAACTAATGCTTCCAAAACACTACCTTCCAAAACAAAGTTTGACTCAAGATCTTAAAAACTTATGCTGTTGTCGCCTTTTACTGAAAGAATTGAAGGGAGATATAGTACATCAAGCTATTGGATATGTACAAGCCTACAAGGTTAAAGGGATATCTTCTATTGGACTTGGAGTACAAGAAGACACTAGTATCCAGAGATTTGGCTTCCTTCCCAGCCCCAGCCACAGCCCCACAAATATTTCATTACCAGTCATCTACAACAACTCAACAATTTATACAACCCAACAATAATGGGCATATCTATCATTTTATGCATAACACCCACCCATTTCATTAATAGTAAGACACGTGCATTGCACGTGCAGTATAATATTCCATTACCTTAATAAAACAAAAATAGGCAAAATGTATTTTATTCAATATGTTAAAATAATATTCCTATCAGTTCCAACAATTTCCAACAAAGGAAGCTTCTGATTGTAAAATTGTCGGTCAAACTCATTTTTTATATTTAATGATTGAGGCTAACAGCCTATTAGGACACCCGTGGTTTCTCCTAATAGAATGCAAATACCAATCACTTTATATATTTAAAATATTATTGACAAAATAGGTTAAGATTAACCATTATATTAGCCCCTTAGGCAGAATGCAATAATTATTTATTTAGCCAAAACTTCTGTATCAGCTTAACTTAGGTTCAGTGCTCAGCATTTGACAGAGGCAAAAACAAAAATAGTGATCTCATCACTACCAAACAGCAAGCATAGATATGAACAAATTACAGTGGTCGATGTACTTCGAGTTACAAGGAGGGGACAGGATTAAAGTTGCATATCCCCTTAATTAGACTTCCAGATGTATATTATAGATGTAGCTAACTAAGTAAACTGATCTTGAGGAATTAGTGGGTTCTCATAGAAACAGCCTTGCTATAAAGTTTAGTAACAAAAAAATCTGACCTGCCCAAGTTGTTCATCCTCATCCTCATTTGGATCGTTTAGGACTTCTCCACTTTCTCCATCACCAGTTGAACATGCAAATCGTTCCTAAAATGAACAAGAAATCAATATATATATATATATATATATATATATTTATGTATATATATGTATTTATGTATGTATGTATCTCCTTGTTTGAAGGAAGAAAATTTGACCTGTTCATTATGAAACATATGTTCCTCGTCCTCGTCAGCCTCATCTTCATCCTCTTGAGGGTCAAGGCATGAATTTAAGACTTCAGCAATTACTCCAACATCCTTCGAACGACATGCAAATTGCTCCTAAATGAGAACGAATCAATATAAGCAGCACACTAAAAATTCCCAAAAACAAATATGAAAATGTAGAGGATTTCACTTTATTGCAAGTTACCATTATGTCATTCAATAAAGCATGAGTTCAAAAATAGTGATTCTTTGTATGGTGCACACTTATGCCTAATTTCTATAATGGGTGAGTGTGTTGTTGATTAGAGGCTCACTATAGTTCCCTCTTATCTCCTATACACATATGCATACATAATGCATGGACATTAAGGTTTTTATCATTAAATTTGAAGCATATATACACACTGATATACGGAACCACCATTTTTTTTCTCTACATGATATATAGAGCCAGTTATAAAACGATGTTCAGCTCTTCCTTGATTGAGCTACCATCATGAATCACATTGCTTGATGTGCAAAATGTGAAAGAATAAACTGTCATACAATTGTTTACCACATCTAATCTGAAAGTGCATTTCTACCAGTGAAACCCCATGCAATGCCAGAATAGAGACGTAGCCATGGCATAAGACTTATATGACTGCATGGGAGATTATATATTTATATGTGCCGAAAAGTTTCTTTAATCACGAGTCTTGTAATACACAAATGGAGGAACGGCATAAATAAGTTAGGCATGCATCATCCATCACAATGCAGCATTTATGTTTCTTTGAAATGGTTAGTCCTCTGAAAGAGAAGGTGGCGAATGTGATAAGAATTACAAATGGTTAGAGTTTATGGATAGAGAATGCCGGTCAGTTTTCCAAGACAGAAATGCAGCATCAGAGAATTATGTGTATACACCATAATAGAATGAGGTTGTGGAGAGGAAACACGAGCATTTCTGTCACGTGGGAAGATGATTCCTATTCCAATCTATAACTCCATTTGAAATTTTTAGGATATGATGCTGCTGCATACATCATCAGCAGGCTCCCAAGCGCCATAGTGTGCTGGTAAACACCGCCTTTGAAGATTGCAATGGAAAACCACAAGATTATACAAGATTGAATCCTTTTGGATTTTTAACTAATGCTTCCAAAACACTACATTCCAAAACAAAGTTTGACTAAAGATCTTAAAAACTTATGTTGTTGTCGCCTTTTACTGAAAGAGTTGAAGGGAGATATAGTACATCAAGCTATTGGATATGTAAAAGCCTACAAGGTTAAAGGGATATCTTCTATTTGACTTGGAGTACAAGAAGACACTAGTATCCAGAGATTTGGCTTCCTTCCCAGCCCCAGCCACAGCCCCACAAATATTTCATTACCAGTCATCTACAACAACTCAACAATTTATACAACCCAACAGTAATGGGCATATCTATCATTTTATGCATAACACCCACCCATTTCACATTAATAGCAAGAGACGTGCATTGCACGTGCACTATAATATTTCATTAATTTAATAAACAAAAATAGGCAAAATGTATTTTATTCAATATGTTACAATTATATTACTATCAGTTCCAACAATGGGAGCTTCTGATTGTAAAAATGTCGGTCAAACTCCATTTTATGATTGAGGCTAACAGCCTAGTAGGACACCTGTGGTTTCCCTTAAAAGAATGCAAATACCAATCACTTTATATATTTAAAATAATATTGACATAATATTAACCATTATATTAGCCATTAAGATTAACCATTATATTAGCCCCTTAGGCAGAATGCAATAATTAATTATTTAGCCAAAACCTCTGTATCAGCTTTAGCTTAACTTAGGTTCAATGCTCAGCATTTGACAGAGGCAAAAACAAAATAGTGATCTCATCAATACCAAACAGCAAGCATAGATATGAACAAATTACAGTGGTCGATGTACTTCGAGTTATACAAGGAGCAAACAGGATTAAAGTTGCATACCCCCTTAATTAGACTTCCTGATGTATGTTATAGATGTAGCTAACTAAGTAAACTGATCTTGAGGAATTAGTGGGTTCTCATAGAAACAGCCTGGCTATAAAGTTTAGTAACAAAAAAATCTGACCTGCCCAAGTTGTTCATCCTCATCCTCATTTGGATCGTTTAGGACTTCTCTACTTTCTCCATCACAAATTGAACATGTAAATCGCTCCTAAAATGAACATGAAATCAATATATATATATATATATATATATATATATATATTTATGTATGTATGTATCTCCTTGTTTTAAGGAAAAAAATTTAACCTGTTCATTATGAAACATATGTTCCTCGTCCTCGTCAGCCTCATCTTCATCCTCTTGAGGGTCAAGGCATGAATTTAAGACTTCAGCAATTACTCCAACATCCTTCGAACGACATGCAAATTGCTCCTAAAATGAGAACGAATCAATATAAGCAGCACACTAATAATTCCAATCATCCAATAACAAAAACAAATATGAAAATGTAGAGGACTTCATTTTATCGCTATTTACCATTATTTCATTCAATAAAGCAAGAGTTCAACAATAGTGATTCTTTGTATGGTGCACACTTATGCCTAATTTCTATTATGGGTGAGTGTGTTGTTGTTTAGAGGCTCACTATAGTTCCCTCTTATCTCGTATACACATATGCATACATAATGCATGGATATTAAGGTTTTTATCATGAAATTTGAAGCATATACACACACCGATATACGGAATTACCATTTTTTTCTCTACATGATATATAGAGCCAGTTATAAAACGATGTTCAGCTCTTCCTTGATTGAGCTACCATCATGAATCACATTGCTTGATGTGCTACATGTGTCATCTTTCAAGAATGAACTGTCATACAATTGTTTACCACATCTAATCTGAAAGTGCATTTCTACCACTGAAACCCCATGCAATGCCAGAATAAAGATGTAGCCATGGCATAAGACTTATACGACTGGGTTGGGAGATTATATATTTATATGTGCCGAAAAGTTTCTTTAATCACGAGTCTTGTAATACTCAAATGGAGGAATGGCATAAATATGTTAGGCATGCATCATCCATCACAATGCAGCATTTATGTTTCTTTGAAATGGTTAGTCCTCTCAAAGAGAAGGTGGTGAATGTGATAAGAATTACAAATGGTTAGAGTTTATGGATAGAGAATGCTGGTCAGTTTTCAGAAATGCAGCATCAGAGAATTATGTGTATACACCATAATAGATTGAGGTTGTGGAGAGGAAACACGAGCATTTCCGTCACGTGGGAAGATGATTCCTATTCCAATATATAACTCCCTTTGAAATTTTTAGGATATGATGCTGCTGCATACATCATCAGCAGGCTCCCAAGCGCCATAGTGTGCTGGTAAACACCGCCTTTGAAGATTGCAATGGAACACCACAAGATTATACAAGATTGAAGCCATTCCAAAACAAAGTTTGACTCAAGATCTTAAAAACTTATGTTGTTGTCACCTTTTACTGAAAGAGTTGAAGGGAGATATAGTACATCAAGCTATTGGATATGTACAAGCCTACAAGGTTAAAGGGATATCTTCTATTTGACTTGGAGTACAAGAAGACACTAGTATCCAGAGATTTGGCTTCCTTCCCAGCCCCAGCCACAGCCCCACAAATATTTCATTACCAGTCATCTACAACAACTCAACAATTTATACAACCCAACAATATTGGGCAAACATATCTATCATTTTATGCCTAACACCCACCCATTTCACATTAATAGTAATAGACGTGCATTGCACGTGCACTATAATATTTCATTACTTTAATAAACAAAAATAGGCAAAATGTATTTTATTCAATATGTTAAAATTATATTACTATCAGTTCCAACAATTTCCAACAATGGGAGCTTCTGATTGTAAAAATGTCGGTCAAACTCATTTTTTCTATTTAATGATTGAGGCTAACAGCCTAGTAGGACACCCGTGGTTTCCCCTAAAAGAATGCAAATACCAATCACTTTATATATTTAAAATAATATTGACAAAATAGGTTAAGATTAACCATTATATTAGCCCCTTAGGCAGAATGCAATAATTAATTATTCAGCCAAAACTTCTGTATCAGCTTTAGCTTAACTTAGGTTCAATGCTCAGCATTTGACAGAGGCAAAAACAAAATAGTGATCTCATCACTACCAAACAGCAAGCATAGATATGAACAAAGTACAGTGGTCGATGTACTTCGAGTTATACAAGGAGGGGACAGGATTAAAGTTGCATATCCCCTTAATTAGACTTCCTGATGTATGTTATAGATGTAGCTAACTAAGTAAACTGATCTTGAGGAATTAGTGGGTTCTCAAAAAAACAGCCTTGCTATAAAGTTTAGTAACAAAAAAATCTGACCTGCCTAAGTTGTTCATCCTCATCTACCTTTGGATCGTTTAGGACTTCTCTACTTTCTCCATCACCAGTTGAACATGCAAATCGCTCCTAAAATGAACATGAAATCTATATATATACATATATTTATGTATGTATGTATCTCCTTGTTTGAAGGAATAAAATTTGACCTGTTCATTATGAAACATATGTTCCTCGTCCTCGTCAGCCTCATCTTCATCCTCTTGAGGGTCAAGGCATGAATTTAAGACTTCAGCAATTACTCCAACATCCTTCGAACGACATGCAAATTGCTCCTAAAATGAGAACGAATCAATATAAGAAGCACACTAAAAATTCCAATCATCCAATAACAAAAACAAATATGAAAATGTAGAGGATTTCATTTTATCGCTAGTTACCATTATTTCATTCAATAAAGCAAGAGTTCAACAATAGTGATTATTTGTAAGGTGCACACTTATGCCTAATTTCTATTATGGGTGAGTGTGTTGTTGTTTAGAGGCTCACTATAGTTCCCTCTTATCTCGTATACACATATGCATACATAATGCATGGATATTAAGGTTCTTATCATGAAATTTGAAGCATATACACACACTGATATACGGAACTACCATTTTTTTCTCTACATGATATATAGAGCCAGTTATAAAATGATGTTCAGCTCTTCCTTGATTGAGCTACCATCATGAATCACATTGCTTGATGTTCTACATGTGTCATCTATCAAGAATAAACTGTCATACAATTGTTTACCACATCTAATCTGAAAGTGCATTTCTACCACTGAAACCCCATGCAATGCCAGGATAAAGACAAATTACAGTGGTCGATGAACAAATAGAAAAAATAGTGATCTCATCACTACCAAACAGCAAGCCTACCAAAGTGATTGCGTACGCATACAGATTGAGATCACTACCAAACAGCAAGCCTAAAAGAATGCAAAAACAACTTACAGTCCCCTAAAAGAATGTAAAACTTCTGTATCAGTTTAACTTAGGTTCAGTGCTCAACATTTGACAGAGGCAAAAACAAAATAGTGATCTCATCACTACCATACAGCAAGCATAGAGATGAACAAATTACAGTGGTCGATGTACTTCCGAGTTATACAAGGAGGGGACAGGATTTAAGTTGCATATCCCCTTAATTAGACTTCCTGATGTATGGTATTGATGTAACTAAGTAAGTAAATTGATCTTGATGACACAAACATCCTTAAATACGTATAAATCCAGATCAGTAACAAGAGAATTCAATAAATTATAATGCTCTATAAGAATGCATCAGCTGTTTAACAAGTGATTGAGTACGCATATGTGAACAAAAACCTCACCCAAACAAACACAACCTAGCCCATGAACATTTAGTTCTTATCATGAACAAATCTGGAATTACTGTTTGTCACTGAAAAAAATCCTTAACTATATTCTGCTCAATAGAATTAAGAGGAATTAATTGGTTTCCAAACTGAAAGATCCACAAACCAGATTAAACATCACAGTAACAAATAAATAACAATAATAATAAATAAAAACAAAAAGAGGTAACTGTAGTATTAAAAAAAAAGGAAAGGAAAGGAAATCAAAATAGACCTGAAGTATCTGTGGGTTGATAAAGTGCGAGATACGCCACTGCTCAACTTTTTTGAGGTGTAGCATAGTGTAAGTCGCTGGAGAGAGAGAGAGAAGAAGAAGAAGTTAGGTATTGACTGAAAAATCTATTCATCACAAGACATCGAACAACACGAATTCAGACTCATGCCAATTTGAGGCCACTCTGAGGATACAACAACCGAGAACATATGAGAATTTCTAATAAAATTTGAAAATAAAAAAAAAAAAGGAAAATTGTGGAGAATTCGAACACTGCCAGGACAATATCCACCTCCTGACTCGCTGTCCTCGCCGCCGGGGATCGAGACTTCAATTGTTGGAGGCCTGCATTTTACCAGTCCTCAGTCCTGAAAAGAACAAATGGAGATTAACCGATGGACATTAGAGAGTCAAAATGATCTTTAGAATGCAAAAACCTACGGAGATGATGGCGTGTTGCAGCTCAGAACGATGCCCAGAGTTGAAGATTGAGAATTGTGTTGCGAAATTTACACACTGTGGAAGTATGATTATGAGTTCGTGAAATTTGTGAGTTGGAGAGAGTGCGAGTATCAGGTAGTAGTAATAATAATAATTTTGGTGAGAACTGGCCACGAAACTACAGTACTACACCAAACAGAAATATTTTCATATATTTTCATTTTTTGGAAAATTAAATTAGATTGAACCTGAACATCCAGAAAAGTCGAACCACACCACATCAAATTTATATGATTTCAGTATGATTTTGCTTACACCTAATTAAAGTTATAAATGAGTCGAGTCAAATTCAAATCCCTGATACCCAAGCTATACTCGAGCTTTAATCAAGTCAAGCCTAGCTCGTTAACATAATCGACCCTTGACCACTTAGGCGCCCAGGGCCCACAAATTAGGAGGTGCGCCCTTTATTTATTCAAATATATTGGATCCAATGAGGGCACACTATCAAGATATGTGGCAAAGATGTAACTCTTTATTTAAATAATAATTTTTTAATTTTTTATTTTAATTATTTAAATATTTTTTGACCATCGACTCCGACGTTGACCATTGACTTCCGCGACACCCATTGACTTCGTCGTTGACACGTTGACCTTAGTATGCATTATGTATGAAGTAAATATCCATTCAGCACTATGCAGTTACTATGAATTAAATATACATGGAGTATGATTTGCATATGCAATCCTTATGAAGTATGAACTAAATATGCACCAATAATATCAACTAAGTTGGGTCATTCTACTGTCAGATACGCCTCGTACCTTAGATATCAAAGTAATCCAAGACCGGGGCATTGGTCTATGGTAAAACATATACTCAAGTATCTTAGAAGGACTAAGGAGTACATGGTAGTTTACGAGGCAGATGAGTTACTCCCGTTGGGTTTACGCTGACTCTGCATTCATCATAACCTAAGATGGAATTGTATTATCACAAACTCACTACTAAGAGAAAGTGCTCAAGAAATTTAATGTGTATGACGGTCCGCTATCTTAGCTCATAGCTTAAATCTGATAGCCAATAAAGGTGAATCAGTAACTCAGTTGGAATATTCACGGATAATATGAACTCTGTTGTATCTGAAAAATTGTACACGACCAGACTTAGTCTATCCAGTGAATAAGTTGAGTAGATTTACGAGTAATCCCAGTCATAAGCACTTGAATACTTTGAAAGGGGTACTTAAGTACTTAAAGTACACCCTTGCAACAACAACAACAACAACATACCCAGTATATTCCCAACAGGTTGGGATCTGGGGGGTCAGTTGTAGCAGACCTTACCCTTGTAATTATACAAGGAGGTTGTTTCCGTAGCGACCCAAGGTGCATTGCGCCGTTTGATATTTTTTTTTTTTCCTAGAAACTTCACTAATAGAAAAAGCACTAGAATTTAATTGAGCCATTTTGATCTAGTCTATTATTAGCACTATGCTAGGAGAATTGTCAACAATGACTCTTCCAGCTCCATTTGCAATGGACAGTTAAAGTACACCCTTGAATACGATAAAATAATCGAGATACCCAGTTGTACTTGAAGGGTACTATGATGCAAGCTGAATATTAAATTCGAGTGGATATGTTTTTTTTGTATAGGAGGAGATGCAGCTTCGTGGAAATCCACAAAACAAACTTGTATAGTTCGGTCAACTATAGAATCAAATCCATCGCATTAGATAAAGCTGGTGAAGAAGCCGAGTGATTTCAGAACTTCTTATCCGATATTCCATGTTGGTATAAGCCTGTCACCTCTGATGATTCAATGTGATAGCCAAACTGCTATAGAAAAGGCACAAAACAATGTGTATAACGGTAAATCTAGTCATATTCGTCTCAGACATTAGACATGGCCACGGGTCAACCGGCCCGCCGACCCGGCACGGACCCGGCCCGATCAAACCCGTTGACCACGGGTCCGGGACCAGATCAGATTTCAGACGGGCCGTTTAAGGGTCATCCATTTCATGACCCGGCCCTGCGGGCCTGGGCCGGGCCGAGTCGATAACCCTCCTTTCCTATTTTTTTTTTATTTTTTTTCTATTGTTTTTTCAAAAAGCCCGGACACGACCCAACCCGGACAAGATCCGGCCCGGACACGGACCCAGCACGGGTAAAGGTCCGTGTCGGTTCAGGGTCAGTGTTTTCGAGCCCGGCGACCCGCCGGGCTGGGCCGGGCCGTGACCTGGCCTGGATTTTGGCCATGTCTAGCAGACATATCACAAATGGTATTATTTTCATTGACTATGTAAAATCTAAGGAAACTTTGGTTGATCCTTTAACTAAAGGAATGAATAGAGATCAATTAGGAATACTGGTAGAAGGAATGAACTTATAAATCTACAATGAAATAAATGATCATGGTGGTAACCCTACCTTGCTGAATGGAGATCCCATGAACTTGATTCAAGATGAAAACTAAAATATGAAAATTCAGTTGAGCACTTGAAACATAAGAATATCGAAAGTTATTTCTAAACTAATCCAAGTGCAAGATTACCTGTTGATTGTGGCGAGAGTAAGTCATCTGGACTTTTAATGAATACCTAACCTTTTAAACGTAAAGTAATACAGGATGCTCTTGATAAGGAGGTCAACTATATGGCTGCAAACGAGCCGAGCCAAGTCGAGCATTGGCCTTATCGAGCAGGATTGATTTTTTTTTTAGCTGCTCGAGCTCGTCAAGCTCGATTTTTTAAGCTCAAGTCGACTCGATAGAAAATTACAATAGCTCAAGCTCAACTCGAAATCAAAATGCTCGAGCTCGGCTCGAAAATTTTAAGTGGAAAGGTAAAATTACCATTAAACACCAATGCTAATATATAAGGGATATTTTAGTAATTTATCATGTATCTCAAGTCGCTAGACAATGCAAAATATGGGCTCGAGCTTGACTCGAGTTCATGTTCGAGCCGCTCGAGCTTGACTCGAGTTCGATCAAACTCGAGCTCGAGACGAGCTTTGACTCGAGCGCTAACGAGCGGCTCACGAGTCACTCGGTTCATTTGCAGCCTACTCACCTATATAAGTGTGAAGTGAGAGCCGCTTTAAATGTAAACACTTATGAATCCAAAGTGTTGTCCATGGCAAAAGCAAACACAACGTCCATTAACTGCATATCTAAATTCATAATTACTACCAAAGATATCAAATAGCGGACGTTATTCCATCCATTACAAGAAAATATGTTGGATCAAAATCAATGTCGGGTCTCTGCGAAAACCCTTGAGCAACTAATCTCGTTTTGTATCTCACCAATTTCCATTTCACTTTCGTACGAAAATCCATTTATATCCTACTAGGATAACTTTTTGAGGTGTACGCACAATAGAGCCAAAAGCTTAGCGAGTCTAATTCAACCTCAATTATCTCTTTCAATCTTACCCAATAGCCCGCTTTCTGCAATTGATTTGGGTTCTGAATCCATATTTGTAACGCCCCGTTTATTTATGGATTTATTGAGATTATTATAATGATTATTTATTTTTATTGTTATTATTTATTGTCATTATTATTAATAATTTTATGAATATTTATTTAATGTGTAACTGTAATTATTTGCCTAAATGTGTATTTGTATTATTATTATTATTATTATTATTATTATTATTATTATTATTATTATTATTATTATTATTATTATTATTTTTATTATGTGTGCAACAAAATAGATATTGTTCGGTTTATTTTAATCGCGAAATCTAGCCCGAGAACCCGAGTCTTCGAAACTCACGCACATGAACCGGCCCGATAAATTGAGAAACCCGCGAGCCCGAACCACGCTCCAGCCACGGCCCAGTCCGCCCATGAGTGTGTGTGTGTGTGTCTTGAAAAAAAAAGGGATTAACCCTAACTGCTTTAAAAACCGTGCCTTTAATCATCTCCCCTAAACCTCATTCACGTGCAGCTTTTTGTTCTCTCGTCATCCTCATATCGGCAGAAACAGAGAAAATAAAAATCTCACGACCCTCGTTCATCATTTCCATCTCTTCCTCACCTCCGTCACCATCCTCTCGCCATCGCTGCCCGATCTCAAGGAGTGTAGGAACCGATCGCTGCCTGCTTTCCTCCGCCGCGAGACATCACCGAGAACCAGCGGAACTCCGACGGCCATCTTCCCTCCGTGACCAGCAACAACCTCGCGAAGCTTTTCCAGCGAGTCCTGTCCGCGAGTCCCGTCACGCCGCTCCTCCTCCACCGACGAGCTCTTTTCCTCCGATGATTCACGCGAGCAGGCCCTTCTCTCGCGAAGCACCACCGGCGAAGTTCTCTTCCTCTCACGAGCGATCTCCAGTGAACCAGCAGCGACTCCGGCGACTTTCCCGTTCGAGCAGCGACCTTTAGCCGTGACCTAGCTGCAGCGACGAGCCCTCCTCCGCGAGACGAAGCATCGCCGTCGAGCTGTGCCGCCTCGTTCGTCGCGTATTAGCCGTCGTCCACGTTCGTGTCCTTCGTCCCGTTTTTCTGAGCCTATTCCCGAGAACGGTACCTAGGCTCGAACCCCGTCTCGTTTATTTTCGTAATATGTGATGTGATATCTATAATCGTATGTTGATATTGTTTGAATATGTCAAGCCTGTTATAATTTAATTAGGTATCGATCTCTTCGGTTCGTGCGAACTCGAACTAGATCATGTATACACGTGTTAAGTCGCTGTGGGAATTGGAACAACGTGTCCTTGGTCTCAAGTGAAGGCCTCGGAAAATTTCGAGTCTTGTCGAGTCGTGCATAAATTGTTGATCTCGTAAATTGCTGTTTTGGTGTTTAATTCGTTAAAATTTTATGCGGCTCGGATTGCCATGAAATTTTAGGTGTTATGTCATCTAATGAATATAAGGTTCGTGTAAAAATTTCATAATTTTATTCGTCCTGTAGCTAATTTAGTTAATTAAATTGATTTTTGAGCAGAATCGTGTTAAATGCATAATAAATTGTGTAGTGCTCCAAATAGACTGAAA